TGGCCCCCTCTAATCAAAGTAGTGTATGCAAAAACCCACATAAATGTTTAAACATTACAAAACCTTTTGGAAAATTGTTTTCTCAAGAATATGTATCATGTGATAATAGTTTCCGAATGCTTTGATAATATATCCACAGACAACTAACTAATTACATCACAGTCGACTTGTGTCACATGTTTTTCGTTTTTCCCAATAGTAATGGTAACATTTTTATGATACTTTTAGGAGGGTGGTGGTAGAGCATGAATAATCAAGGTTGGTTTCGTTTCTTTTTTCAAGGAGAAGAATTTTTTGACAATTTCCTTTTTATGTTTCTATAGACAAAACAAATACCTTTGTTTGTAAGAAGGTTTCAATGTAAAGACGTCATCTACTACAATGATTGTTAACCAACAACCATTTTTGGCAAAAAAGAAAACGACAAATTGTGGCTTAAATATGTAAATGAAAATTGAAGAATTCAAGACTAAAAATGACAATATTTTTATGGTGTATTAATTTGGTTCTTTTGCTTGTGTATTTATAGAAGTTAAATTTATTTTGTTTGTCCTAAATATAAATGGTAAACAATAATCATTTTGCACAATAAAGAAAAATATTCGAGAACATAAAATTTAAATTAAATTTTGTGGGTTTTAAGGATAAAAATATAGAAAATAAAATTATATCATTTAGAAAATTATAGAATTTCTATATAGATTTATGTATATAAATTCGTTATATTTTATTTTGATCGATAATAATAATGATAACGAAATGATATTTAGTTTTTTTCTTTTTAAGGACTTTCTAAAGTCCTTTACAGTTTTGACTGAAATTTTAGTATTTGATTAAAATTTTTTGAAATGGACATTGGAATTGAAAAACAATGTTTTCCTTCTTTTTGCAATGACAACATGTATTGTCCTTAAAGAACAATAAAAACGGCTGCTATTGCTTGCTGCTGTGTATCGCTTGGCAGGAGAGGGTTTTTGCCCCACCAAACCAGTCATAAACCCTAACAATAACATTTCAGTCTAACAGAGTTTTCAATTCTGCCTGATACTGAGGCTACAGTTTAGTAATAAGTGCAGCAGCAAGTGCTTTTTCACAAAAAAACAAATTTTCCCTCTAGATTTTTTTTTTGAAAAAATTTCCCATTGCATGTTGAATGAATGTCTATTATAGCTGGTGTTGTTGCTATTGTTATTGTTATACTTTACCACTTTAACAAAATATACACAGACAAAAAAAAGCAATTCAAATAATTGTTGATTTTTATCTTGTCATGCTGTTCTATAGCAAATAGATTTAGCTTTCATATTTGTTGCTATTGCTGCAGTTGTTGCCAGTTGTATCGCTACTGCAATGCCTTTAGGTTTATTTAAATTATAAAAGAAAAGCTACAGCAACAGCAACAATATTTCATACACAAATCCATGTATAGATCATATTGCTGCTTGAAATATGTTCATGTATTGTTTACATGCAGTACTATGTCGACACAACCACACTAATAATAGTACAGCAATCATCAACATCATCATTGTTGTCGTTGTCGCTGTCATCAACATCAAGTACTAGTGTTAAGGGAGAGAGGAAAGATTAGCATGCAATTGCTAAAGTATGACTTAAAATTGCAGCCCTAGTAAATGAAAAAAAAACAAAACAACAGGAGCAACAATGAAACAAAGCAAACAATAGCAACAAATAATAGAAAAGTTAAGAACCTACACACTATTTCCATAGAATCTGAAAATTTCAGAAACTTTTTGTTTATAATACTGTGGATCAGTCTATGGAGTGACCTAAAGTGATTTAAGTCTTGAGTATAGACTGATCTAAAGTCTATAGACTAATCTATAGACTTGACGATATACTAATTTATAGTCTAGACTATAGACTAATCTATAGTCTGACTATAAACTGATCTATAGTATTGTCAATAGACTAATCTATAGTCTTAACTATAGAATAATCTATAGCCTTGACTATACAATAATCTACAGTCTTGACTATAGACTAATCTACAGTCTTGACTATAGAATAATCTATAGTCTTGACTATAGACTAATCTATATTCTCGACTATAGACTAATCTATAGACTGATCTGTAGTATACACTATAGACTGATCTATAGTCTTGACTAAAGACGATCTACAGTCTTGACTATAGACTAATCTCTAGTATTGGCTATGGACTAATCTATAGTATTGACTATAGACTGATCTATAATCTTGACTATAGCGAGATCTATAGTCTTGGCTACAGATTAATCCATAGTCTTGACTATAGACTAATCTAAAGTCTTGACTACAGATTGATCCATAGTCTTGACTATAGACTAATCTAAAGTCTTGACTATAGAGTAATATATCGACTTAACTATAGAGTAATCTATAGTCTTGACTATAGACTAATCTATATTCTCGACTACAGACTAATCTATAATATCGACTATAGACTAATCTATAGTCTACGCTATAGACTGATTTATAGTCTACACTATAGACTGATCTGTAGTATACACTATAGACTGATCTGTAGTATACACAATAGACTGATCTATAGTCTTGACTAAAGACGATCTACAGTCTTGACTAAAGACGATCAACAGTCTTGACTATAGACTAATCTATAGTATTGACTATAGACTGATCTATAATCTTGACTATAGCGAGATCTATAGTCTTGGCTACAGATTAATCCATAGTCTTGACTATAGACTAATATAAAGTCTTGACTATAGACTAATCTAAAGTCTTGACTATAGAGTAATATATAGACTTAACTATAGAGTAATCTATAGTCTTGACTAAAGGCTTATCTATAGTCTTGACTATAGACTAATCTATAGTCTTGACTATAGACTAATCTATAGTCTTGACTATAGGCTAATCTATAGTCTAGACTACAGACTAATCTATAGTCTTGACTATAGACTAATATATAGTCGTGACTATAGAGTAATCTATAGTCTTGACTATTGACTAATCTATAGTCTTGACTATTGACTAATCTATAGTCTTGACTGTAGACAAATCTATAGTCTTAACTATAGGTTAATCTATAGTCTTGACCATATACTAATCTATAGTATGGACTATATACTAATCTATGGTCTTGACTATATACTAATCTATAGTCTTGACTGTAGACTAATCTATAGTCTTGACTATAAACTAATCTATACTCTTGACTATAGACTAATTTATAGTTTTGACTAAAGGCTTATCTATAGTCTTGACTAATGGCTTATCTATAGTCTTGATTATAGACTAATCTATAGTCTTGGCTATAGACTAATCTATAGTCTTGACTATAGACAAATCTATAGTCTACAGACTAATCTATAGTCTTGACTATAGAGTAATCTATAGTCTGGACTATAGACTGATCTATAGTCTTGGCTATAGACTAATCTATAGTCTTGACTATAGACTAATTTATAGTCTTGACTATAGACTAATCTATAGTCTTGACTATAGTCTAATCTATAGTCTTGACTATAGACTAATTTATAGTCTTGAATATATACTAATCTATAGTTTTGACTATAGACTAATCTATAGTCTTGACTATAGAGAAATCTATAGTCTGGACTATAGACTGATCTATAGTCTTGGCTATAGACTAATCTATAGTCTTGGCTATAGACTAATCTATAGTCTTGACTATAGACTAATCTATAGTCTTGACTATAGACTAATCTATAGTCTTGACTATAGACTAATCTATAGTCTTGATTATAGACTAATCTATAGTCTTGACTATAGACTAATCTATAGTCTTGACTATAGACTAATCTATAGTCTTGACTATAGACTAATCTTTAGTCTTGATTATAGACTAATCTATAGTCTTGACTCTAGACTAATCTATAGTCTTGACTCTAGACTAATCTATAGTCTAGTGTCTTAAACTTCTTATAGTCTTCGCCATAGACTGATCTATGATCTTGTTTATATAATGATCTATAATCTTAACTATAGACTGATATATAGTCTTGACTACAGACTAATCTGTAGCCTTAACTATAAACTGATCTATTATCAGATCTATAGTATTGATTGTAGACTATGTTAAAGTCTTAATAATGAACTGATCTATAGTCATGACTAAAAATACCATTATATTCATATCGTTTAAAGATTTTCTATAGAAAGGTTGAAGAGATTTTTTCTGTAGTATTATTTTTATTTAAAAGGCACTTTTTTTTTTGGAAACAGTGTAGTTTTGCTTTTAGTTACATTTAGTTTTTAAATAACAATACAATATAACAAAGTCTTCGTCATTTAACGAGCTTTTACACTTCATCACACAATTGTTGTTGTCATTCATTTATGGCTTTATAGTATCGGTGAGTATAGTTAATAAACGACTAAGTCGACTGAAGAATAAAATCTTAAAAAAATACTCTTTGAATTACTGTGAAATTTACAAAGTTTCCTGAAAATATTTTGTTTAAAACTTATAACTTTTTGAACATTTTTTTCTCGAAAGTCTTATATTTGACTTAAGCTATTATTCCTAGTGATCATAGTTTTATAGAAAGAGTATTTTGTAGTGATTTAGTTGTTATATTCTGGCTGCTGTTGCTGATGCCGTTGCAGCTGCTAACCGTTGTTGCATATTTGTTGTTTGTATGTAAATCTAAAGTGGGGTTATAGTGTTAAATTACTTTAACTATTGCAGATGATGGTTTAGAAACAATAAAAACAATGGGGTTAAAATTTATACAGGTTAATTTATTGTGCTAGTAAATGGCACTAGAATAAAAAATCCTACTTAAATGTTATAATGTGACAATTTAAACAAGTATTACGACAGATTAGATATGTTTGTTAAATTTAACATAAAAGTGAATCTAAAACTATGATTTCGAATTTGGAGGAAATAAATGGAAATTTTTAGACCAAGTTTGTAAGGATTTTCACTTAAAACTTTAAGATAAAAATTTGAAAATTTTTAAAGTTTAAATTAAAAAAAAAGTTTTATTTAAATATGGCAAACTTACCCAATAGCAATAATTTAATATCCTTTGCCGCTTGTATGCCATCCTCCTTGAGATTTTTCTCAATCTGCTTGGAACGTTGTATGGCAGCGCGTTCTTCAGCTGATGTAGTGCAACCCATTTTTTATGTTTTTCTTGTTGTTGTTGTTAGTTGTTGTTAGTTAGTTTGTTGAAGTTGTTTTTAAATATTTCACCTTTGAGTTATTAGTTGTATAAAAAAAGTTTTTTTGTTGTTGTTTTATTTTTAATTCAAAACACTTTTTTTTATTAGTCTTAAACTTAAAAGTGGGAGGGGTATTTTGGTTTGAATTCTTTTAAGGAGTTTCCTTTTGATATATGTATTTATTTGTTGGTTTATATTTATTTTATAAATGAAGACTAATTTTTTTAGTTTATTTTATTTATTTTTATTTATTTTTAGTTCTATATTAAAAGGAGGGTTATCGACACTTATTATTCATTTAATTTTATGAATTTGTTTTTTAAGGGTTTCGTTTTTATTATAATAAATACTGTAAAAAAAAAGAAAAAAATATGTTTTTATTAAAAATTTGTTTTATAAAATTGTTGAGGGGGACTAAAACAGTCTCTTCTTTAGTAAACTAGAGTAAAGTTCGTTTCGGTGTCATAACAATTGTGACTCATCATCATATGTTGTTGATGATCGTCATCAATTGTTTGTTTATTAAATAAATAAATAATTTTACAGTGATTTATATAGTTAATTCTTATTGTTTATATATTTACAAGTATGTTTTTTATAGTTTGTTTATTTTTTTTTTTATAAAAAAAAACGAGAAAAATTAATAACAATCTATGTTTTAATGGAAGGAAGGAAAATTAACGTTTAATTATAATTCTCCAAAAAGAAAATATTTCCGTTTTACAAGAGTAATCTAGTTCAGTTCTAGTTCAGTTCTAGTTTAGTTCAGTTCGAGTTCAGTTCTAGTTCAGTTCTAGTTCAGTTCTTGTTCAGTTCTAGTTCAGTTCTAGTTCAGTTCTAGTTCAGTTCTAGTTCAGTTCTAGTTCAGTTCTAGTTCAGTTCTAGTTCAGTTCTAGTTCAGTTCTAGTTCAGTTCTAGTTCAGTTCTAGTTCAGTTCTAGTTCAGTTCTAGTTCAGTTCTAGTTCAGTTCTAGTTCAGTTCTAGTTCAGTTCTAGTTCAGTTCTAGTTCAGTTCTAGTTCAGTTCTAGTTCAGTTCTAGTTCAGTTCTAGTTCAGTTCTAGTTCAGTTCTAGTTCAGTTCTGGTTCAGTTCTGGTTCAGTTCTGGTTCAGTTCTAGTTCAGTTCTAGTTCAGTTCTAGTTCAGTTCTAGTTCAGTTCTAGTTCAGTTCTAGTTCAGTTCTAGTTCAGTTCTAGTTCAGTTCTAGTTCAGTTCTAGTTTAGTTCTAGTTCAGTTCTAGTTCAGTTCTAGTTCAGTTCTAGTTCAGTTCTAGTTCAGTTCTAGTTCAGTTCTAGTTCAGTTCTAGTTCAGTTTTAGTTCATTTCTAGTTCAGTTCTAGTTCAGTTCTAGTTCAGTTCTAGTTCAGTTCTAGTTCAGTTCTAGTTCAGTTCTGTTCAGTTCTAGTTCAGTTCTAGTTCAGTTCTAGTTCAGTTCTAGTTCAGTTCTAGTTCAGTTCTAGTTCAGTTCTAGTTCAGTTCTAGTTCAGTTCTAGTTCAGTTCTAGTTCAGTTCTAGTTCAGTTCTAGTTCAGTTCTAGTTCAGTTCTAGTTCAGTTCTAGTTCAGTTCTAGTTCAGTTCTAGTTCAGTTCTAGTTCAGTTCTAGTTCAGTTCTAGTTCAGTTCTAGTTCAGTTCTAGTTCAGTTCTAGTTCAGTTTCTAGTTCAGTTCTAGTTCAGTTCTAGTTCAGTTCTAGTTCAGTTCTAGTTCAGTTCTAGTTCAGTTCTAGTTCAGTTCTAGTTCAGTTCTAGTTCAGTTCTAGTTCAGTTCTAGTTCAGTTCTAGTTCAGTTCTAGTTCAGTTCTAGTTCAGTTCTAGTTCAGTTCTAGTTCAGTTCTAGTTCAGTTCTAGTTCAGTTCTAGTTCAGTTCTAGTTCAGTTCTAGTTCAGTTCTAGTTCAGTTCTAGTTCAGTTCTAGTTCAGTTCTAGTTCAGTTCTAGTTCAGTTCTAGTTCAGTTCTAGTTCAGTTCTAGTTCAGTTGTAGTTCAGTTGTAGTTCAGTTGTAGTTCAGTTCTAGTTCAGTTCTAGTTCAGTTGTAGTTCAGTTCTAGTTCAGTTCTAGTTCAGTTCTAGTTCAGTTCTAGTTCAGTTCTAGTTCAGTTCCAGTTCAGTTCTAGTTCAGTTCTAGTTCAGTTCTAGTTCAGTTCTAGTTCAGTTCTAGTTCAGTTCTAGTTCAGTTCTAGTTCAGTTCTAGTTCAGTTCTAGTTCAGTTCCAGTTCAGTTCTAGTTCAGTTCTAGTTCAGTTCTACTTCAGTTCTAGTTCAGTTCTAGTTCAGTTCTAGTTCAGTTCTAGTTCAGTTCCAATTCAGTTCTAGTTCAGTTCTAGTTCAGTTCTAGTTCAGTTCTAGTTCAGTTCTAGTTCTGGTTCAGATCTTCATATTTTGAAGATAAATTTTCTATAGAAAATTTCTTCATATTTTGAAGATAAACTTTGTATAGAAGAAAAATTTTTCATATTTTTAAAGACAAATTTTCTATAGAAGAAAATTTGTCATATTTTCGAAATTAAATTAAATGAAACAAATATTTCTTAGTTTTATTTAACTTAATTTATTTTATTAATCCACAAATACCTCTTCAGTCCACCCCAATAAAAACTAAAATATTAAATCATCATCTCTAAATTAATATGTTCGTTCTTAGTGTTTTTAAAAGAACTTTTTGCAAAGAACTACTTCACGTAACCCAAAAAATAATCAAAGAAATATGTACATTCTGGTATCAATGAAGAAAAAAAAAACATTAAACTCTTCTATTCAATCGGTTTTTTATAAAAGCAAAAGCTGCTTATTTCCATTATTATTCTGCTATATTACTCATCATATGTTTTCAATCAGAGCAAATAAAAAATCATATAAAAATATCCTTTATATGGTTTATTAGTATATTTTGTTGTTAAAAGCCTTTTTCTTGGGAAAGAAAGAGAAAAAGTCATAAAAAATAAATCAAATCATCATACAAATTCAATAACATAATATAATTCAAGTAGAATTTTCTGCAATATAAATTTCCTCCCTAATAAGTTGGTTGGATAGAGGCGTAATAGGAAGTTGAAAGAGGAACTAAATGCATATTGCATTTCATAAACACTTCATACCGTTATGTACCTTAAAAGACTAGACTAGAAAAGTCAGTATGGAATTATATGTGTAATATGTGTACATTTCTAGTCTCGGCAGTAAAGCAACGATCAGCAGACATAGTCAATAGAGGCCGGTAGCAACTTTAAGTTTCTCAACAAGGAAACAGGCAAAATTTTCAATATCCCTCAGAAAATGGAATTTTTTTCAGCTTTAAATTTGACAAAAGTTTTCCCTTTGTGCCGTCCTTTGCGGTAATGTCTAGTGTAGTTGTTAGTTTTTACTTGTAGTAAAAAGTTACTTGTTGAAAATTGTTTGCATCGGGTATACATAGCCCTGAGTGGGAGTAATATTACAAAATATGAAAACTAAAATGAAAAAATATATATAGAATTGTAGGAGAAAACTAAAATATAATAAAAAACTAAACGACTATAGAAAAAAATTCTATTCCCAGTGTATAATTTATAGACTATTTGCACATTTCTATAAAATTGTCCTTGTATGTGGTTGATGGCAGGAACAAAAAAAATCATATTATATGCATACACACAAAAACAAACAATACGTAAATACACTATGAATGTATGTATGTACCTTGCAATGCTGTGACTCTGTCACTGCTTACCTACTAACCTACTTGCAAAGCTTGATTGGCTTAAAGACCTGTCAAAAGCTTAGTCAAGTTCTTTTCTAATTCAGTTCTAGTTGAGTTCTAGTTCAGTTCTAGTTAAGTTCTAGTTCAGTTCTAGTTCAGTTCTAGTTCAGTACTAGTTCAGTTCTAGTTCTGTTCTAGTTCAGTTCTAGTTCAGTTCTAGTTCAGTTCTAGTTCAGTTCAGTTCTAGTTCAGTTCTAGTGCAGTTCTAGTTCAGTTCTAGTTCAGTTCTAGTTCAGTTCTAGTTCAGTTCTAGTTCAGTTCTAGTTCAGTTCTAGTTCAGTTCTAGTTCAGTTCTAGTTCAGTTCTAGTTCAGTTCTAGTTCAGTTCTAGTTCAGTTCTAGTTCAGTTCTAGTTCAGTACTAGTTCAGTTCTAGTTCTGTTCTAGTTCAGTTCTAGTTCAGTTCTAGATCAGTTCTAGTTCTGTTCTAGTGCAGTTCTAGTGCAGTTCTAGTTCAGTTCTAGTTCAGTTCTAGTTCAGTTCTAGTTCAGTTCTAGTTCAGTTCTAGTTTAGTTCTAGTTCAGTTCTAGTTCAGTTCTAGTTCAGTTCTAGTTCAGTTCTAGTTCAGTTCTAGTTCAGTTCTAGTTCAGTTCTAGTTCAGTTCTAGTTCAGTTCTAGTTCAGTTCTAGTTCAGTTCTAGTTCAGTTCTAGTTCAGTTCTAGTTCAGTTCTAGTTCTAGTTCAGTTCTAGTTCAGTTCTAGTTCAGTTCTAGTTCAGTTCTAGTTCAGTTCTAGTTCAGTTCTAGTTCAGTTCTAGTTCAGTTCTAGTTCAGTTCTAGTTCAGTTCTAGTTCAGTTCTAGTTCAGTTCTAGTTCAGTTCTAGTTCAGTTCTAGTTCAGTTCTAGTTCAGTTCTAGTTCAGTTCTAGTTTCAGTTCTAGTTCAGTTCCTAGTTCAGTTCTAGTTCAGTTCTAGTTCTAGTTCAGTTCTAGTTCAGTTCTAGTTCAGTTCTAGTTCAGTTCTAGTTCAGTTCTAGTTCAGTTCTAGTTCAGTTCTAGTTCAGTTCTAGTTCAGTTCTAGTTCAGTTCTAGTTCAGTTCTAGTTCAGTTCTAGTTCAGTTCTAGTTCAGTTCTAGTTCAGTTCTAGTTCAGTTCTAGTTCAGTTCTAGTTCAGTTCTAGTTCAGTTCTAGTTCAGTTCTAGTTCAGTTCTAGTTCAGTTCTAGTTCAGTTCTAGTTCAGTTCTAGTTCAGTTCTAGTTCAGTTCTAGTTCAGTTCTAGTTCAGTTCTAGTTCAGTTCTAGTTCAGTTCTAGTTCAGTTCTAGTTCAGTTCTAGTTTCTAGTTCAGTTCTAGTTCAGTTCTAGTTCAGTTCTAGTTCAGTTCTAGTTCAGTTCTAGTTCAGTTCTAGTTCAGTTCTAGTTCAGTTCTAGTTCAGTTCTAGTTCAGTTCTAGTTCAGTTCTAGTTCAGTTCTAGTTCAGTTCTAGTTCAGTTCTAGTTCAGTTCTAGTTCGGTTCTAGTTCTGTTCTGTTCTAGTTCAGTTCTAGTTCAGTTCTAGTTCAGTTCTAGTTCAGTTCTAGTTCAGTTCTAGTTCAGTTCTAGTTCAGTTCTAGTTCAGTTCTAGTTAAGTTCTAGTTCAGTTCTAGTTCAGTTCTAGTCCAGTTCAGTTCTAGTCCAGTTCTAGTTCAATT